ATCAGTCCGGATGGCTCCAGGCTGTGGACGGGCGGCTTAGACAACACGGTGCGCTCCTGGGATCTGCGCGAGGGTCGCCAGCTGCAACAGCACGACTTCAGCTCTCAAATATTCTCGCTCGGCTACTGTCCCACAGGTAAGGCAATTGCCCTATGACATAATCATCTGGAAATAACTAAATAACACTTTATATCATCCGTAAGGCGACTGGCTGGCTGTGGGAATGGAGAACTCGCATGTGGAGGTGCTGCACGCATCGAAACCGGACAAGTATCAACTGCATCTGCACGAGAGCTGCGTTCTGTCGCTGCGCTTTGCCGCCTGCGGCAAATGGTTCGTTTCCACCGGCAAAGACAACCTGCTTAACGCATGGCGAACACCCTACGGTGCCAGCATATTCCAGGTGAGCTTATATCAGCATATTTAAAGAAATCCTTATTGAAATACTGGCCATTTTTCAGTCGAAGGAAACATCATCCGTACTTAGCTGCGACATATCAACTGACGACAAATACATTGTGACGGGTTCGGGCGATAAGAAGGCTACTGTCTACGAAGTTATTTATTAAATCCACAAAACCATGCAGTTTTTTCATTTTGTAATAAGCTCGTATAGTTTTTATTACAACAACAACAAAAAAACAATTAACTACAACAAACAAAATGTTCGAAATCATGCAGATAACAACAGAAAAACAACAGCAGCAGCATCGGCAGTAAAAAAAGAAAAAGAAAAAAGCAGAAAGGCGGCAGTAGCAACGCATCAAAAAGCGAAGCAAAAATGAAAATTCTATAATATATATACAAAAAGGAAAAACTAAAATTTTAAGCGTACTTGTAGCTACTAAGCCTAAGCTAAGTCCAATAAATAAAAACAAACCAACAAGTTGAACAACACACAAATTGCAAGTAAAAAGAATTCAAGTAAAATGAGAACCAGAGCGAAATAAAATGATAATGCATGTGAGCAACAGAAACGAGTATGTTGTAAAATTAACAAAATGAAACCAGAAACAAAAACATAAACATTAACAGAAACAGTCGGCGATACCTACCTACGTTCATCTAAACATAAAAAGAAAAACAAATAGGAGGATAAGTGGAATAGTCATTGCAATTGCAGGAGCGTTGAGATTATGATTACCAGCTGAGCAAAAAAGGAGTTAAATACGATGCGAGTGCTTTTAGTTTGTTTTATGTGAACGGTTTTTGTAATTTAGCTGACAAGTCAGACAGCGAATGCAACAACAAATGTAATTTTAAGTTGTCAGTTTCCTTACCTCCCAACGCCCCTCCACACACACACACCACACCCACAAACACACACGAAAAACACATTTGCATAAAAGAAGGTATATATATATATAATTATAAATGAATATACTTAGTAAGCATTTTAGTTAAGAGTTTTACATTATAAATTAAACACGGAAACCACTTTCGAAACACTCACTCGCATTGGGGGTCAGTTTAGAGATCAGAGCAGACGGCTTTGCTTGTATGTAATTTGAATGAGGAATGTGTAATGAGGAAATCGAGGAATTATTTGTGTGAATCAAACTCAACTCTTCAGAACCAAGTGTAAAATCCTATATTTTGAGCAGCTAAGCCCAACGGAGCCGCATCAACAAAATCGAAACCGAAAAGTAGAACACAGCTAAATTGTTTAGTGTTTAGAGTATATATGAAAACAACAGAAAACGAATCGATTTATATATATTTACAATTATATATATAATGCAAGCGGCGAAATTGTAATAAGCAAGAGATAGAGTGCAGCACACGCTTCGATTTTTAATTTTACAAATATTATTATTATTGTGGTTATATATGTATATAATTATATTATAAATAATTGAAGCAAAACGAAAAAATAAAAAATTATATGTAATCGAAAGTAAATCCCCTCGGATTGCATCTAAAACACATCTGTGGTGTAGACGCTTCGCTGGCGCGGCAGTGGTGCTCCTTGCTGGCGGGACATTTTCGTGTGCAACTCCCGCAACCCTTCGCACTGGCGCCCAGAAATCTGTCGGAACTTGTCGATGGCGATGGGCAGCAGGTTGTCCACCAGAAAAATCTTGTTCTTCATCACAAAGTTGGGCTGTAAAAGACATGCTTAAAAAGGCTTTCGTTTAAGCTGTTGTCTAACTTACATCCACGGCCATGTCGCTGGGCGGTTTCAGCGAATGCTGGGCAATGAACAGCTCTTTTAGAAGAAGTTCCAGGCTTTGCAGTAGGGTTTCGCACTTGGCCAGACAACCACAGTACTCGGTGAGCTGCAGGAAGTGTCTGATGAAGACCACTGTCGACTGGGTGAGATTAATCCAGGTGTCGCCCGTCGCCTGGGCTCGCACATCGATACCCAGGACATCGAGCTCCAGGAGCAGACGCTTCAGATTCGACTTGGTCTGCAAATTATACGGCTGCCAGCTCTCCTCAGTGCGACCCACGGAGTCCAGCAGTCGCTCCTTGGATTCCTCTATCAGCGCTTCCAGTGTAGTGCGCAACAGACCTTCCAAATGATAACTGATGTCCAGCCCAATCTCTGTAAGCTTCGTCGAGGGCTTGCGCACTCGCTCCACACATTTGGCCACCGACTCCAGGGATGTTCCCTTGGTCAGGTAATGCTTGATCAGTTGGCTGGCAAAGTACTGCAGCTCCGCATTGCACCAAACCACGAGCGCTGCAAGAATTAGATTCTAGTTATACTCAAATCCAGACAGGAATATGGCTGTAGCTTACCACTCACACACGCCGGTTGCTTCTCAAAGGCGGTGAGAAAATCACATGCCACCTGCGCCAGATCACAGAAAAAGAGTTCCGATATATCCGCATTATTCCTACGCGCCTCCCGTTGCGCCACCCGCAAACTGACAGCACAGACCTTCAGCAGAGTGGCACTCGCCTGGCGATAGCGACCCATCTCTACAAGGATCTTCAGGGGCCGCTTGGCGGCTCTCAGAGCGATCTGCAGATTCCGATTGTGACTGTTGGACAACTCCTTGAGCAGCACATTGATCAGCTTCAGCTCCTGCTGTTTCACCTTGGTTTCGATGGCGTCCGCGTGTGGGAACTTTTTCCTGTTCTCGTTTCGCAAAAATTCCTGTGTTCGCTTGATCAGCTCCTGGGCATCCTCGAAATGCCGCTGGGCTACCAGGGTCTGAATCTCTTCACTGGCCGTGCTTAGCCACTCGGGGGTCTCATCCTCCAGGGATTTCGGCTCCCCAGGACTTTGTGGTGTGGCTTCCTTCTCCGGCGTCGAAGCTTTTGACTGCTGTTTGGCCCGAGTTGGAGGCTGTGGCGCCTGACCCTTTTTTGGTTTCTTCTGCTGGTCAAAGCGAAAGGCCTCTTCCAGCTTCTCGATCCACTCCGTCTTCCCAGCAGCTGTGATGCTTTGGTAGATCTTGGAACCATCTGGAGTGATAATATTAATGGCATTCTTGACGCCATCCAAGTCCTTGATGTTGATCACGGCTATTTTTTTGGGGTCGTACTCGGTGAGAAAATCTAAGCGCCTGGAAAAGATTACTCATTAGTGTTTGCTGTAGCTTCAGTTTAGAATAACCCAACTTATCATGCTTCACTTTGCAGACAATCAGTACATCGTTGAAGAGGAAAAAGAAGACCCTCTGGATGGGTCGGTAATCATTGCTGTCCAACTCGATCAGGGCTCCCTCGTTGAGGAAGGTCTTTCCCTCCAGATTGCCATTGAAGCCCTGTACCATTTCCTTGACCGCCCGCGTGGCATGACTATTCTCCAGATCCTCCGTCGCCGCAGTGCTCTCCGCCTCCAAGCTCTCTGCCTTCAGGTGACTGGAGGTCTTGCCATCCGTCATGGTGGCCAGAATATTGCGCTGTTCAATCAGAATGTGCGACAGTTGGTACATTTCCGACTCGAGATCTGCGGTGGGAACATATTAACAAAGGTATATAGAGGTATATTGGTGGGCGTAAATTACGTGATATCTCCTTGGCCGTCTGTATAAACTCCATATAGTTCTTTTTGCATGTTTGCTTGAGCGTTGCGGCCGTAGTTTCGTTGTAGGCCTCGATTTCCTTTTTTCGCTGCTGCAAATCGCTGCCACCCACACATTCTCGTGTCAGGTCCTTGGTATCTGGGAAAGATGCACTTATTAATATGCCGATTAAGGCTACGTAGACATGGGAAAACTTACATTTCTCAACGCTAAAGTTAAAATCGTCGAACTCCTTCATGATTTTGGTTGGAATGTAAACTGCAGCTGACGCAGAGCCATTCACGACGAACCGCGGCATCATAAGGCGTCGATTGTAAGGTTGCTGATGCATTAGAATATGACATGTTTTCACTGCGGATTACAAATAATTACATTAAATCAAATAATAATCATAAACAATAAGATTAAATATAAAAACCTTTAGAAATTTGCGAACTCAACTTTAAAATGAAAATAATTATGATAAAGATCTCTTAGAAAATAATCAGATTTCTGTATTTTACTACTAGGATTTATTAAGATTAAGTATCAAAACCTTTAAAAAGTTTTATTCCAACGCAATTCTAAGATAAAATACTATGACGAAGATGTTAGAAATCAACAAATTGGATTTGTTCGCATCTAGTATTAGGATTTTTACAGTATGGTATAAAACCTTGTAAAGTTTAATTCAATCGCAATTTAAAATATAAAAGACTAAATAGACTAGAAAAGACTAAATAAAAAAGACCTAAGCTCTTAGGAATCAACAAATTATATTTATTCGAGTTTACTATTAGGATTTGCATAGTAAGTATGATTAGGTATTAAAAACTGTAAATATTAAATTCAACTTTAAAATATATACGACTACGACAAAGATCTCTTAGAAATTCACAAATAAGATTTATCTACTATTCTATTGTCTATTGTAATAAAATAGTAATTTGTTTCCCACCTGTTGCTAATGCACTTAATTGCAGTGTGAACACTTCCAACATAAGTGCACCGGCAAACTTCTTCTTCCCATTTAAACTATTCTCATGCAAGCGCCAACCCGCCTGGCCACCTTACAATCGCACACACCCTGCGCTTTTTGTTTTGGTTGATGAGTAATCTTTAAGAAACTCCGTCATTCTTCGTAATTGAATCTTAAAGCTAAGAAATCCTTAAACATGGACTGGTTATTCGGCAAGAAGATCAGCCCCGATGAGATGCTGCGCAAGAATCAGCGGGCGCTGAACAAAGCAATGCGAGATCTGGACCGCGAGCGGATGAAAATGGAGCAGCAGGAGAAGAAGATCATTGCGGATATCAAGAAGATGGCCAAGGAGGGCCAAATGGATGCCGTGAAGATCATGGCCAAGGATCTGGTGCGCACACGGCGGTATGCCAAGAAGTTCATGCTGATGAAGGCGAACATCCAGGCGGTGTCCCTCAAAATCCAGACGCTCAAGTCCCAGAACACAATGGCACAGGCCATGAAAGGTAAACATGGGACATGCGGCTGATTCATTGGCTTATCAACTGATTATGCTCGCTTTTCAGGTGTTACGAAGGCCATGCAGAACATGAACCGCCAACTGAATCTCCCGCAAATCCAGAAGATCCTGCAGGACTTCGAAAAGCAGTCGGAAATGATGGACATGAAGGAGGAGATGATCAACGATGCTATCGATGACGCCATGGAGGACGAGGGCGACGAGGAAGAGACAGATGCTGTTGTGTCCCAGGTGCTGGACGAACTGGGTCTGCAATTGGGTGAACAGCTGGGTGACCTACCTTCTGCCTCCGGTTCCCTTTCCATAGCTGGCGGCGCTGGCGCCCAAAAAGCACAGGCTGTGGCAGCCGGTGGCGTTGGCGGCGGTGGAGCCGCCGGCGGAGGTGGAGCTGGTGGAGGCGGCGCAGGTGGACCGGGTGCTCCCGGTGGCAGTGGGGCCTCATCGCCCATGTCCGATGCCGATGCGGACCTGCAGGCGCGCCTGGATAAGCTGCGCAAGGATTGAGGCGATCCCAAGAACCACTGCCTGTCCATTTTATGTAAGATCCACTATCCGTTTGTATCTCCCAGAAGCGAATGTTATATTAAAGAGAATGCTTGTGATTTTCGTTCCCTGCGTGTTTGAAAAATCGATGAGTAATTACCATTTACAAGCTACAATGGGAACAACTAGTTAGTGCTGCAATCGCACAGTCTATTTATAACAAATTCGCAATATTTATTCTATGCAAAATTCGGTATTTTAACAGATTTATACATTTCATGCCTTCAATAAAATTAAGCAAAAGGAGTTTCCAAAATCAATAGCTAATTAGCATATACATATATTCTGCTGAATATATGAAAATTGTGTTTACTTGGATAAAGGAAGTTTTTTCTGCATTTACTATAGTTATTAGGTACCCATACTTAAATTAAAAAGTGAACATAACACTTGTAAAAATAAGGAAATTGTTTTAAATTTCATAATGTGAACAGGTGTTTTCCATTTATTGTTTATTGCGCTTCAACGTTCAACTTAAAATACCTCTCTTCAGAATCAATCCATTTGCTTTAGATAACATAGAGTTCCAGAATTACTTTCGCCTACAACTATTTTCTACCAGATATTAAAAAGTATGTGTATGCCTCACTTCTTTCCTTAATTGGGTATACTTCATGTGTGTATCTTGTATCTTATCGGGGTGAAGAAAAAGTACCTATTGCATTACTATTAACAAGCGTATATATTTTTGGGGGATACAATTGAATGGTAAGGATAGCACTACACACATAACCGGAATATGAACACGAAATCTAGAAGCCACTGGCCACCAATATCTTCTCCACCTCTCCAAACACCTGTTCGGCATCCGGACTGGCATCGATCCGCTTCACCTGGCCGGCGCCCTCGAAGTACTTGATGATGGGCAGCGAGTCATTGTTGTAGGTCGAGATGCGCTTCTTCAGGCTGTCCAGATTGTCGTCCGTCCGTCCGGAGCCACTCTGTCCGCGGCCCAGACACCGTTTCACGCACACATCCTCGCCGCAGTCGAAGAACAGCACAAACTGAAAGTCCACCTTCTCGGACATCTGGCGGTTCCATCCATCCAGATTATCCTGATTGCGTGGGAAGCCGTCGATGAGGAATCGCGACTTGCCCGACGCCTTCATGGCGTTTTCCAGCAGCGAACACGTGACCGCAACGGGCACAATTTGGCCATTGCGTATGTAGTCCTCGATGAGGTTACCAAATTCGGAGCCCTCACGCGAACGCTCCTCGCGCAGAAGATCTCCGGCCGAGAGGTGGGTGAACTGGAAGCGATCCACTATCCGGGAGCACTGGGTGCCTTTGCCGGCCCCGGGACCGCCCAAAACAAAGACAACCTTTGGCTTCTCCACGCTCATGATTCCGATTCCGATTTTGTGTGGTGCGGCTGTGGAGGTGGTGGTGAACCTTTTGCTGGCCTTGGAATGTCGCAATTGCTGCTGCGTAAGTGGTGATGGTGCGAAACGGACTCCTGGTGACCCGCAATCGTTGGCAGCTGCTCTCCACGTCGTTCGTGCCAAAGCCCGCCACATTGACGACTGAACTTGGGCTAATTGGATGCGTGGTTGGTGTGTGCGAGTGTGTGTGTGTATGGACTGCCGCCTGCAGTACACCACACCACTGTTTTCCACTGGAAACGTAACACCCTGTGACGTCACGCACAAGCGCAGCTGTTCGTGGGCGTGCGTTGACCAACACTGGCGCCGCATTTAGCGCGAAGCGTACCAATTTGAATGGCACTTTGTGCAGTTTACTTCCGGTAACATTTCAGAAGAATTAAATTACTTATATTTTTGTACTGCGCTTTTAAGGAGTGAAGCTGTAACCATACGCTCAAACTGGGGTATAGCCTTGCCGCGTTGGATTTTCATTCTTTTTATTACCATATGTATATACTACCTGCTAAATAAGTCTATTAAATGAGCTGCGCTTGGTTGTTTTGTATCAAGTCGGCCACTAGTTGGTAGGGAATAATGTGCTGGGAGCCGGCCGCCATGTCCACCTCCTCATCATCGACGCCCACGATCACAGCGGGCACTGAAAAGCAAAACATGAGCTAAGCGGTAATCTTAATTAGTTGGTAAAGGTTTATACCCGCCACATTTGCCTTAAGGAAGACATGGCTCATCAGATTCGGGGTCACAATCCTCTGCTCCGCCTCTCCTCTCTGCTGATTGGGCATGTACTGAGTGGCTACCTTGTGGAAGTACTCATCCACATTACTCGCAAACTCCTGGGCGAACTTCGTCTCCTCGGGAGACAGACGTTTGTCATCCGGCTCACGGCTCGCCTCCTGGTTGAGGATGTGTTGTGTGAAGGTTTCGATCTTCTGCAGGCGGCAACGCAGATAACTGGCCATTATGTAGCGCACCCTCTCCAGTTCCATGGAGTGCACCACCGCTCGGAAATCGTTCTTGTCCAGGTCGCGCATCTGCTCCTCCATGTGGGCAACCTGTGAGACCATCAGCTCCAGCATGTCCGCCTGGCTTGGCAGAATCTCCGGCGCACACATTTCATTTATCCAAGCGGTTTCTAGGGTTTCGAGAACCTGGCAAATTTAGCAGGTGAATAGTTGTGTTTTCAAGAGCACAGTTTGGATTTACCTTACCTTCTGCGCTGTAATCTGTTCCATATCGTCATCATCATCATCATCCTCCAGTCCTGCGCCTTCGGTGTCATCGATTTCCAGCTGGGTTTCGGCCACATCTTCTACATCCGACATGGTTTTATTTATTTGTTTATTTTGCAGATTTTGGCGCAAATTTTGCGATTCCTTGGGAATGTCACGGCAATACTACTTTTGACGTTTTCCACCACTGTTTCAATTGTTTTTACTCCATGTGAATGGCAACGTCTAATCGTTATCGATATCATAAAAGCATGCGATGGCAGCCGCACAACAAACTGAATTCCAAAAGAATTTTAGGGTGATTGTGGAGAAGATCTTCAATCACTGGCAGGATCTCCGGCTGGCGGTGGAGCATGGCATGGGCGGACGCAATGGCCAACAGGTGGCTGCTCAAATACCACAAAACAGTCTTCATTTCTAACCTAATCCGAGTGCTATTTGTAGGTGGCCATAGAAATCATGGATTACACCTACCAGTACTGTGTGTCCAATGAAAATATCACGCAGGGCGAACTGCAGGAGGTCCTGGAGGAGCTGATGGACCAGGAGTTTAACACCCTGTGCGACGACGATTCCATTCCGGAAATCTGCCGGAATCTGCTGCGTTACAAGTTGCTGGCCCAGCAGAATCAGTACCCACAAATAGAGGCTGAACTGAATAAACTTCCCGCTGGCAAGGAGTGGCTGCGTCCGGATGTAAAGATCACCTACACGCCCATCGATGGGGACTCCTCTTCCGATGAGGACATGGACGACAGTGACGAGGAGGACGATGATGAAATGGGCCAGGGAGACGAGGACACTCCCAGTGGCAGTGGCCGGATGACTCGATCGCAGGCACGAAAGCAGCAGGCTGAGGAATTCGTGGAACCAGAAGAAGGCTGGACCACAGTGCGAAGAAAGTGACTTGTGGGGATCATTAAAAAAAAGCCTGTTAGTTTTTTTTAGTTGTAATACGCTGTATTTACTTCCTGGAGGTCCAGAAAACGCAGTGGTGCAATAGGTGCACGCGTCACAGGTTGGTGGAAAGTCCTGCACAAGTTGCAGTTTACTGGAGAAGCCTTCTTTGACGTGGAATCCTGGCTTTCCTTGCCATTTTGCAACTGTGACCAGGAGGTGAACTCTGTGCCCTTGGGCAGCGCTAGCTTGGGATCCACCACTGAGAGAATGGAATCAACATCCACTGTCATGGAGAGATTTATGGCTGGGTAGATGAGAAAGGCAAAGAACCAGGCGAATACCAGCACCAGAAAGGGCACAAATACTGCGAAATACTTGTCCGGCAAATACGAGTGCAGACCAAACTCCACTGGCAGCAGGGCCCAACTCACGTAGACCAGGAAGAGGACGGTGAACAGCATATAGAAGGCGAAACCATAGACCGCCCTATGCGGAGTCGGAGCCGGAGTGTGTTCCGGCATTGTCGTTGCTCTCGGGGATTAGTTTATCTTCCGTAGTGTCTGCGAACTGCTTGATGGTGTCCTGACAGAGGAGCAGGCCCTCGAAGAAGGAGGTGATGGCGGTGCGTAGGCTTTTCACTTGATCCGCCTGGAAACGCACAACCAGGACATCCTCATCCAGGCTCAAAGTTTTCTGCACGAAATTCCGGCGCGGCTCCTGGTCGACACTGAGCACTTTGTAGGCGATCTCGGCCAACCGTGGCGTCTCGAACGGCACTCTTATTGTGCTGGTAAGGAGAATGTTACCAATTTTATATTGAGCTATTTATTAAATGGTTAACATACGATTCATTTGGTTTAATTGCAATTTGTGGCATCATAAAAGTTGTAACCAATCTGAAATGCTCACATGTCAGTGTAGAAAGTGAATGGCAATTTGTGTAGAAGAAGCAACTACCGGTTGTTTATCTCGCGAACAGCTGATTGAGGAATTCTAATATTTAACAAGATAGAATGCTATTGTCGAGTTCTCCGACTATTAGATACCCGTTACTTAGCTAGTGGAAGTGCTAACGAGAAATTTCAACATTTTCTGGAGTATCGATAGAAATTGGGGAAAAAATAATTAAATTAAAAAAATTTATAAAAATTTTTTAAAGGTGTGGGCGTAAGAGTTTTTTGCGGTTTGTGGGCGTGGCAAAAAGTTTTTTTGGGAAAATGTGTAAAAATTTAAAGTATAGACAAAAATGAAAAAATATCACATTTTTCAAAAATTTGGCCGTGGCAGTTTTGTGCGGCTTGTGGGCGTGGCAACATTTGGAAACTAACTTGCGCTGCGTATGTCTCTGAAAGCTGCATGCTTAATCTCAATATTCTAGCTTTTGTAGTTCCTGAGATCTTGATCAAGAATATAAATACTTTATACGGTCGGAAACGTTTCCTTCTGTTACATACTTTCAACGAATCTAGTCTACCCTTTTACTCTACGAGTAACGGGTATAAAAATGTGATTACTTCATTTTCACATTTATATGAAGGCGTTTGTTCCGTTTTTGGAACTAACAATAATGGCATATCAACTGCCAATTAAAACGTTCTTCTTCAATTTCTGGTTTCTTTATTACAAAAAGGTGTCCCAATATCATTGCGCCAAACAAATCCTTCTGCTAAGTGGTTACTTCTTGGACTTGACGACTCCCTTAGGAGCGCCCCTGGGTGCGGGCTTCTTGCCAAGGGCCTTGGCACCTGGCTTTCCGGCTGTCTTTCCCGCCGGCTTCTTGGCGGCGGCCTTCGCCGGCTTCTTTTCCACAACCTTCTTGACGGGCTTGACCAAAGCCTCCCGCTGGCTCTTCAGAGCCTTGACGATCTTCTGTTCCTCGATGAGGAAGGCACGAACAATCCTCTCCCGCAGACAGCTGTGGCACAGGACACCTCCGTAGGTCCGGGATACGGTCTTCAAACGCTTGGACATCCTGGGACGCTCGCTGGGCCGGGAGGGCGTGATCCCGTGGAGCTTCTCCTTGCACTGACCACAGCGTGGCACAGTGGGGTTCTTCTTCACGTACTGGTACACCAGACGGCCACCGGGAGTGCGCACACTGTAAACAAATGGAAAACACCTTAGTAATCTTGGATATCCAGCATAACACCTGTCACTCACATGCGCCTCTTGTTGGAGCGGGTGTTGTACGACAGACGTCGCCTCAGAGTCAAGCGTTGGACCATTTTAAAGCTTCTGAATCCAATTGGCCACCCGGAATAAACACCATTCCCCAGGAATTCATGGAAAATATCACAGAACAAAGTCGGAACAGCATAAGTGCGTTGCCATTACATAGTAGGCGATTTTTGCATCATTACTGGCGCCACTTAAGCGTTTTTGCAATCAAAATAATCATTAAAATTAAAACACAAACCTCTCCGGAAATCAAAAGAAGGAAGAAGAGCAGCTAGAGCTGGAAGAGAAATTGATGATTATAATTGCTATCGATTACTTCAAAACATTTTTCTTTAAATCAATAACCTGGTTATATATATAATATGTGGTACTGAAACCAGATATTTATTAGCACTAGACTTATTAATTTGTTATATTTTAAAAAGTAAAATGATGAATTATTAGAGTTTGTGCAGCCCTGACCCGCCACTCTACTAAAACTTATCGATAGCCTGTTGATTACCAAACTCCCATCTCTATTGCTTAAACACGCGGCTGTTTTGTAAATAAAAACAGAGTTCTTTCAGTTTTCAACTAAAAACATGAGTTTTCTGAAACCCAAGACCCACATAGAAAAGGGAGATGTGGTCATCCTTTACTTGAGTGTCAGTTCCATGCATGCCATCGAAGCGGTGCCCGAAATAGTCAACAAAAAGGGCGAAACAATACCACATATTTTTCAGACCAATTATGGATCGCTAAAAGTTGAAAGTGAGTTAAAGTTATAGGTTCCATGGATCGTCCTAACCCTAATCCCTATTCCAGATATCATCGGCGTGGAGTATGGAAGTAAGGTGGAGCTCTCCAAGGGCTGGGCCCACGTACTGCAGCCAACGCCGGAACTCTGGACACAAACGCTGCCCCACCGCACGCAGATTATTTATACGCCGGATATCAGTATGATTATCCACCAGTTGGAGGTCCGACCCGGTGCCGTGGTGGTTGAGTCTGGCACAGGATCGGGATCACTGTCGCACTACTTTCTAAGAGCACTGAAACCCACTGGCCACCTGCACACATTCGATTTCCACGAAGCTCGAGCGGATCAGGCACGCGACGAGTTCCGACGACATGGTATCGCCGACTTCGTCACCGTCTATCACCGGGACGTTTGCAATCTGGGCTTTGGCGCGGAACTGGATGGAAAGGCCGATGCGGTCTTCTTGGATCTGCCCGCGCCCGATCTCGCAGTGCCGCACGCCTTCAAGGCGTTGAAGCTGTCCGGTGAGTGGCCAACATCGCGTTGACAACTAGTTGTCAGCGCCCTTTTGCGGGCAATCCGGCAATCAGGCGGTTATGTTGGGTTAACTGGGATGGCCAGGTACATTTACATATGCATTAAGTGGGCAAAATGTGTACAATAAGCTGTACCTCGCGTAGTTTTTTATAGTTTGAAGTTTAGTTCTTGTGAAATGGCTACACAATATTACTAACCTCTTAAAAACATTTTTAAAGAAACAGGGGCTTACTCCGGTATTTACATAGAATGGGAAATGAGATCTTAGGTTGTACCTAATTGGGAAAAAGGTACCAAACCACCTTGTATATCCCAACACTGTCGGCCGGTCAGTCAGTTATCCATCCAGTGAGCCAAAGATCCAGTCAGCTAGTCAGTCCGGCTGCCATTTCACCGTGTTTGACATTGAATGAGCCCGCTTTTGACACTTGATGCGGCCAAGGCAGGCTGACCGGCGAGTTTGTCATTAGGCGGATGGGAGCTTCGATTGTACAGCGGGCTTGCACCAAACCTAGGGTGCTACTGTATTGGAGGCACAAATATAATGTCAGCAAATCAAATACTAAAAAAAATAGGGAAAGCTTATCCACCAATATATGCAAATCTTTAGAAGCTATAATAGAGTAATTATTATTAAGGGCGCAAAAGAAGGCACCAACAATGAGTAAACCTGATTTCCCCTTCCCTTTTCACAGGAGGTCGTTTCTGTTCGTTTTCGCCCTGCATTGAACAGTCGCAGCGCTGCATCCAAGAGCTAACCAAGCTGGGCTTCAACGAGATTGTTTCCTTGGAGGTGCTGCAGCAGGAGAACGTGGTGAAGACTCGCACGCTGCCCGTCATCGATCTTGAGTTCCTTAAATTGCCCAAAACCGATGAGACGACGACGGCAGCAAATGCCGAGGAGAGCAAGGCGCCAAAGGAGGTGAAGAAGTACCTGACCTCCAGTAATCCCCAAACCCTGCCCGGTCACACGGGCTTCCTCACCTTCGCCACTTTGCCGCCAAATATACCCAAGGCCTGATGAATAAACTTGAATTTACTTTTATTTGTCCCACGAACCACGAGCTTCATCATTCGTCGTAGGAGTAAGAGTACGAGAATTCCTCGAAGTACTTGCGTTCGCTGGTCTTTACAGATCCGCAGTGGTAGCATCGATGCGGCTTCACTTGCTCCTGCGTCTTCCGGTTCCAGGACTTTCTCTCGGGCGCCCAGGGAGTTCGCTGCTCGGGAATGGCCACCTCGGTGCGCTCCGGATTGCCGCTGCAGGTAGGACAACGACCCACAACCGTCGGCTTGGGCAGCATGCCATAGATAAGTGGTCCCGGCGGTTGTTTTCCGTAAATGGTAACCACTTCGGGGAGGCTGGAGTACGGGCGGGTGGCAAAGAGCTTCTCGCGGTTGAGGAAACTGAAAGAATCAGGTGAGCAGAGTGAGAAAAAGCATTTTTCCTTGGAAATGCATATTACTTTGATCAATAGGTCATAAAAGCTGTTGCTAATTTGAATTATAAATATGTTGCTAAGGTGAAAGATTGAGGCGAAATGAGAATAGGTTCGTTTATTGGCGACTAGCGACTAATAAATCAGTAATAAATACTTTAAGTATAATTAAAATCAGTTAACATTTAAATTCATTCTCAAATCCATTTCCGTATTTAAACACAAACGAATGCCAATCATTTGTATTCAGGCAGAATAGAGAGAGACTACTCACTTGGGCCGCGGTTGCAGCCAGAGATTGTTGATGCGCTTGGTGCGCATTATGTCGCCCAGTTTCTGGAGGAGTCTCAGGTTCTCCCGCTCGATCTGCTGCTGGCGCTCCCGCTCCACTTGCTGCTTCTTCCACTTGCGCTGCACGTGCTCGTGGGCGCGCGGCGAGTGGGTGTCGATGGCTGGGCGGGCGGACATGACCTTCTCGCGGTGCTGGGCGTACCGCAGTTGCTCCCACGGCTGCTGCAGCAATTTGTCGCGTCGTGAGATCATTTTCGGTGGCTTCTCGGAGGGCAGATGTTGATGGGCTAGTGAGTGGTTGCTTACTGTTTAATCCGGTGGAAGTCCGCTGTGTTTGCCACAACAAACAAACAAGTGTCGGTGTGCGGCCATAACAACCTTGCCAGGACAACGGACCCTCGCCGAATGTTGCACCATCATGCTGGGATTAAGATCAACAACCAAACGGTGGAACCAAATGAACCAAGAAGTCCAGGCGGCGGCCGCTTTGCTCAGCTGTCCGCCGAGTTGTCCATCCGCGCAGAGTGACATCTCCAGTGACTCTTGACTTGCAAATTTGCAGGCCACTGCCAGTGTGGTTGTTACATAATTCTGGACCGCTTCTGCTGCTTGTTAGGTCCGGCCAGTTCTCCAGGATTTCTGTATTTCTGTGTAGTAGCCGCTCTCATCGAAAAACACCGGACTTTGGTGTGGCGGCAAACGTTCCTTTCTTCTTTGTAGCTGCTGCCGCTGTTGCAGCCGCTGTTGCTGTGGCTGCTGCTGTTGCTGCTGCAACTGATGTTGCTGCTGCTCATATGTCAACCGGCAACAACATGCAACCGGCAACAACTGGTTGCCGTTGCTGCCGCCGTTCTAAATACTCCTCGTTTAGTGTTTTGATGGATGTTAAGTGCCAGCCCCATATTGAATTCAATCATTTTGCATCGATGGCAGTGGGTTCTCGGTAGTCATTCAGTTTTTGCTATCTTCAAAGTGCTCGCAGCTCGCTTTGATCTGGAAATCCGGAATTTGTTGCTGCTCCTCGCTGATTAGCTAACGATGTGGTATTAACTGAAAAACAAGAACAATGAGGCACATATACTCCTCCCATTTGCTGATTTGGGCGGCACCCAATTAGTATATAATAAATATTCATTGTTTATTATCACAGTCTTGCCTTATGACCTTTTACGTTCAATTGAATTTACATTTTTCAGATTTTAGATTATGCCAATGTGTTGTGACACGCAGTTTAAGACTAGATTTGAAAGCGGTTGAAATGAATTTCATTAAATTAGCTTGCTTTTTTGGATTCAATAATTGTTACACTGACGCCTTGTTGGTTTCTCTTATTAAATATGCATGTATTCCTTATATTTTGTAACAATTGAAACGAATTTGAATTTTCCACAGAGATATCAGTTAACCGATCGAGTGCTCTTTGTACTTATTATAAGCTTGAATCATTTTGCACGGAGGTGGGCTCCTACTATTTTTCCCCTTGCCCCTAGCCAAGTTAACCAAGTTAACCAACTATCCAACCACTTGCAATTCCCATCGATCCTGTCAAAAACCGAGTTCGGCGCAATTGTTCTCGTTTGAAGTTGATTAGCCCCCCGTTGTTGCTAACAAAATGTATCTATTGTGCTCGACTGCAGCGGCCAATCGGTGTGTAGTGCGTGAGTTGGCAGTATTTGGGGAAATTAAAGGGCCCACGCCGCATTATTGGTAAGTTAATTGGAAGATCGGTAATGCGATACCCACAATGGCAACGTGTTGCTTATCACAGCTCACCTTGTTAGACGCTGGGCCATTATAAGTCGGATTATCTTGTTTGATGAATCGACAACTGTTACGAATTTCCACCATTCAACTCCGGAGGGAGTCTTGTGGGTCGCCGCTTTTCACCTTTGGCCGAAATCGAAATCACAATCGCTTGACCGCGCCGCTTGACTCGTCACTAAACACCTGCTTAGTTGTGCATAAATTTCATTTGCTTATGATTATTTTTATTGAAAGTTTCCTCGCAAAATGCCATATAATTGTGCCGGCCCGACTCTGTGGTCCCGCTCTGATGGGTGTGTGTGCGGGGTGCTGTGTGCAGTGTGTGTGTTACCAGGGTGCAGCCTTACGCCCGCCAGCAATATGGCCAGTTTCTCACCTTTAGAAGCCGGCCCCAAAGTCTCCGATGGCGAGGGACGAGCGCAAAATTGATGGCAGCGAGTGCCGCTCGGTGAGTTCTGGGTATAGTGATTGTGCGGATACCCTTTAAGGGTATTCCAGTTAATAATAAAGGTTTTTCTATCTCAAGTAACTTAATTATTGGCCTAACAATTAATAAATGTAAAAACAAATATTTGTTTATATATTTTATGGTATTATGTGTATATGCAAGAGTTACTGAAAACAGAAACTGCCTTTTTAAATGTTTATAATTTGATTGGCTGCAATTAACAATAATTACTACTTAAGAGCTGCTACTTGTAAATTTTTCAATCATACCCCATATTTGAAAGTGCATATTTCAATGTGCGAACATGGTATATGAAATCACTCTTCACTCTTTTGACTATTTAAAAACATATCGATGCCAAGGCATTGCAATGCCCATTTACCCAATTTTGCAATTGACCCGATAAACCTGGCTGCATTTAGGGAACCCTTTTGTTTTGATTAGCACTCCGCACAGCATACAAAGTGTATACAGAGAGTATGGCGGTTCTGGGTCCTGTCCATTTATTACAACATGAGCCGGCAAACGGCCACAACTGCGGAAAGTCAGTTGAAAACTGCGATTTGCTGTCAGCTAATAATAATAATTTCGATATTGAAAATACGTTTCCTTAGTTAGGTACGACACTAAACGATTTCGCCCAGTCGCTCGGCGACGGCGGTGCAGCAGTGCAGCAGTGCTAAAAGTCAGGCAGACAATACCTGCACCACCACCAGCACCACCAACTGCACCACCGACTTGCGAGTTGACCGTTGGTGGGGGCGTGCTATTTGCTGCCGCTGCTTCTTCCACTCCGTCTACCCCCCGCTATTTTTTGTATTTTTTTTGCGGACAGGTGGTGTGTGGTGTCGATGTTGCCCGGATCGTCGACTTTTGGCTCAGACTGTGTGTTGCCCATCGCCCATTGCCCGATGCCCGATGCCCGTTGCCCGTTGGTGTTCAATATGAGCCACAATTGAGGCATTTAATCGAGCATCTCTTAACACGCCTTGGAATGTTGACTTATTATTGGCCCAGGCAGCCATTCGTACACCCGCCGCAACGTCCTCGGCCGCCCGTATCTGTATCTTTCCGCTGGTGGTGGTGTTGCCAGCAAAAGTATCTGGCGGGTCTGCCATCCAGAGTTGGCCAGCAAAAGGAGAGACTTGCGTCGGTGTCAGGAGTCTGTAGTTACCTCACAGTAAAAGCGTTTATCATCATTAGACTCAATCTAAAGACGTTTTCGGCCGGGGTTATCATGTTGATTATGTTGTGTGAAAACAAATTACATTTCTTCTCGCCCTCTCGCGTTTTAGCACCACTTGGTGGTTCTTATTCCGCTGCTGGCTAATTACGTAGATGATCGCTGATTTCAATTGTGCTTATTGACAAACCAATTGGCCAATGCCACAGATGATTTTTGCTTTGGCTTTGCCTTTGCCTTTGCCTTTGGTTTTGGTGAAAGGAAAGCCTTTTACCCGAGCCGTGAGAAAAAAATATAGCAAAGTCGAACAACAGCGGAAAATATTTCCAATTTGCTAATGGCAATAATTGTTTCTACGTTTTGTTTTTACCTCAAGTACCAATACTTGGCTATAATTTGTTCTTTTATTGTTTTTCTTTTTTTTTTTTTATTATTTTGCTTTGCACAGCTGTGTTCTATATAGTTACTGTTGTTGCAAGTGCCATTGCCTGCAGCTGCAACAACAACAGCAGCAACAGACAACTGCAACTGCAACGGCAACGGCAAGAATAACTGCTTTAGCAAGGTTAAGTTTGGCCCTGACTGCCTGACTGCAGTGGACAACAAAGTGCACTTTATATAAATAGTGTTTAGTAGTGCTTAAAAATACCATTTAATTAGTGAAAGTGGGGGTTTTAAATGAAATACATACTAAAAACCATTAGGAACCCTACAAAATTTAAAGTTAAGTTAAATTTGAACTTTAAAGTTGAAGAAACTTCCATTGCATACACGTGCGACATCTTTGTAGTTCAGTGTAGTTCATTTGCCGTGGCGTGGAAAACCAAAAACTCCAACTCCAATAAACATTTTATGCACTTTTAAATGCAATGCATTATTGTAGTTGCACCGATAACGTTATATTTTTTTCAGCTGTGTTTTTTTTTTTAGATTTGTGCCACACACAGTCAGAGGAAAAACACAAAAGCAAATATAGTGGCACCAGGGTCAATGTCGCACCTTGAAGCTGCAGCCAATATAAAGATTTTGAAGCCGATTTTTTTTTTGTCACAATTTATTGCATTCGGCTTGGAGTCGAGCGTTTTCCATTTTTATGTGTATTATTTTATTTGCCTGAATCTGTGTGGCTCGACCATTTTATCTTGTCAACGCAATCGCCTATGAGTGTTTCTTTTTTAATTAATTAACAACAATCGCATGGGTGTCAATGGCATGCCTAGGTGGCACACTTGGCTCCCATGGATTGGGTCTTTAGTGTCCTCGGAATGCCGAAAGTGAGTGGGGGAAAATGCTCCCTCTGTGCTCAATCCCAAAACATCGAAAAAATGCACAATAAGTTTCTCTGCAAGAAAACAACTTTGAGCTATGCAGAAACTACAACTCAACAGGTATGCAAAGCCAATCAATAAACTTTCGCACAGAGAAGCCGCAGGCAGCTCAATTCTCAATTCTCGTGGCTCCATGAGAACTAATTGAGCCATTTCGAGGTCTATGATAATCGTTTTTGATGCAGCAGCCGGCTGAATTCAACTGGCAACCAAACGAAGCCAACGCCTTCACATTATCCAAGAGTCAGACTATGTCAACTTGAGCTACACAGCCAGCTCTTGTTCTATATAAGATTAAAATTTGAGAAAAATTGGGCATGCATATTAAGCCATATTTAAAAAAAAATCTTCAATTACATTCATAAATTTGTTTAATATAGTTGTATAGTAAGCAGTTGTATAGCTTTATTTTATGTGACTTTTTCTAACAGTGTCCAATAAAATTAAAGTTTTGTTTATGAATGGAATTACACGACGACATTTAGATGGCCAAAAGAGCAGCTTGGCCGGGCCAACGCAGCTGGAAATCGAGAGGCCGCCGACTCGGCTCAGATTCACAGACACTTCATCTAAATGTCAGGCCATATCTAGCGACACTCGCAACA